CCAGAGAAATCCAATCTTTACTGCTGAATTGCAGCTTCCAAGCACTGTTTAGATCTGCTATAACCAATTTTATTTTTTAAAACCTAAGCTGGGTGGTGGTGGGACTTGCCACCTTCCCCATTCCAAAACCTATCTCTGTACCAACAAACTAGCTTCTAACAGCCAGCTCTCATAAAGAAGCATCAACTGTCTATGGAAGAACAGGAATACACTTTTGTCTGATTCCAGTCTATGATCAACTCTTGCTTTAGGGCAAAGTCATAGCAACAAACCTTTTCACAATAATCCAACACAACACCCTCCAGCAACAAGAGTGCCCTGTCCATCCCTTGCAAAATTAAGACATTTGGAATTTTAGAATAAGAGCTCATGGCAGACCCCTTGAATTCCACGCATAAAAATATGCAAACATTGATTTTCTCTGGCCCAGAACTGTGATGCAAGGTAGCCCGGGACACACAACCATTCCTGTGCATCTCCAGGCCAATGGGCTCATTTCACTGTTTCTCAATGAGATTTCCATTTGGTAAACCCATCCATCTTTGGGAAAGCATTTCAGTAAAACACATGCCTTGAACAGAACTAAGCTAAGCTAAAATGTTGAGTCCCAGGCTTACATTCATTCTGACCAAGTGCAGCAGCAGCCATTTAAACTGAGCTCATGGGCTTTATCAGGCACAAGGAGTACTTTGCTGCAGCACTGCCAACAAAATCAGGTCATTGCATTCATCCCCCCCCCAACCCTCTAACATACATGTGTTCTTTCTCTTTCCTCTCTAGTTCACTGCCCTCAGGCATATTGTTAGGAAGGAGACCAAGTCACCATCTAAAATCTAATGTGCAAAGAAGGCAAAACAAGAAATGAGTGCCTATTCTTAGTCACCGTTGGTGCTCCCAGGAGCCCCAAAACTGTTGTGACCCCATCAACTTTGACTGAGAGAACAGTGCACTGTAGGCAGCACAGGTTTAAGGCTTGGGGGGGGGCAGTTCAGATGAAGTGAGACCCCATTCCTCTGGAAGCTTGGTGGGCTTATCAGACTGTGGAGGCAATTCTCTGTACAGCACTTGGCAGCTGTGTCCAGCCACACTTTTAATTTCCCACAGTGCCCCAGACTGACACTGTCAGGGGCACTGTCAAAAATTAAAGGGTTGGCTAGATCCTTCCTGACAATGCTTGGAATTCCAAGTCAGGAACTTTTAATAGAGGTGCAGGGTGGACCATAATAGTGGGTTCTGCCAAACTGCTTGGGCCCTGGCAGCTGACCAATGATGCCAGGTGCTGATGCCAGCCAGCTCTGATTGTGGGTCATACCCTGAAATTGGCTGCTGCACCTTCCCATTTTGCCTCAGGTGGAGGAACAGGATGGGCTGCCCCTGCCCCTTGCGTAGATTTGATTATTTGGTGAACCAGGGTGTGCACAGAATAGAATTTGAGCAAGAGTGCTTATTGGCGCCTTCATAAAGCTGATTTGAGAGAAAGCTTAGAAGGACAGCTAAAAACAGACTCAACGCCGATGCTGTCAAAATTGTGTCAGCCTTTGTGGTGCAGCTGACTCTGAGATGGAGGTGACAGCCCAGCATTTCTCAGCTGGTGGTTTCTTCCACCTTCCTCGTATGTCGAGTCCCACAGTTTGCAAAATAGCTTCTCAACAAAAGCCATGGTTAGGGCATCAGCGGTCTTTTGGATCTCAATGAATATTTAGCTATAAGGAAAGGGAATTGATCTTCACCACCACCCCACTGCTTGCTGTGAACTCTCATGGGCCTTCAAGAGGGTGAAGAGCTTAAAACTCTGATGTTATCTCTATTTATAGGCATAGGATTTAGGGCTGCCTTTGCCAAACAAGTGCCATCTTAGATATTTTGGACTACAACTCCCATCAGCCCTAGTCAATGGGAGTTGTAGTCCTAACCATCTGGAGGGCACGAAGTAGGCAAAGCCTGATTCAAAGTACTGGATGCCATGCTATGGTACAGGATGTCAGGTGCTCAATGTCTAAGCTTAAGCTTTTGCTGGCTCCGACTCTGGCAATGATAGTGTCTCTGGAAGAAAAGGCAGGCTTTTCAACACCCATGGGGCAAGCAGTGGGTCCCAACCTGAATCAGCAGCCCATGTGGTAAAAGGTATCAATTCAATGAGTGACATAGGATATTTTTTAGCAGATGCTGAATTGCAGTCTGTCATGGATGCTTTAGTTGAGATTCTTGCATTGTAGGGGGTTGGACTAGAACCCTCAGGACACCTTTCAACTCTACAGTTCTATGATTCTAAGTCCTAAGTACCCAATGTAGACAGCACACTCAATGAACTATAATATTGTTTTAGGATAACAGGATTCTTTCTAGGTCTCTCCAGTATGGTAGCTAGCTCTCTGTGTTATGTCATTATAGTGAAAGGGCCAGAATTAAATCCATAGATATTTGAAACTGGTGTACAGGAGAGTTAGCAGGAAGCAGATCTTCTGAATCAGCTATATCATAGCTGGGGAAGGTTGGTGTTTTATTCAATTTTACTGTAATGTGATTTTTAAATGTTTCAATGTTTTATGCTGTAAGCTGCCCAGATAGCTTTCTATAACGAGTCAACCTATAAATAGCATAATGAATAAATGAAGCATGTGGTTTTGAGCTTAGGTTGGCTGCTGAGACACATTTTCTTCCTTTAACGTGAGATTCTCTTTTTCCTCTTTCTTGGACAGCAGCCTGAGCTGCTCCATTTCCTCTGCTTCAGTGTGTGCACATGGGTTCTCTAATGCGAAGGGCACACTAACCTGCATCACACAGTACACAGGAATGGGACTCTCTTGTTGACGTTTCCCTGTAGAACTCCTGGTACTGTCTTGCGGCAAAGAAACATAAGGCTTCTCCTACTCCATGCGTGGGGGCACTTGGGTCCCTCTCTGTCTAGCCCTTGAGACATATCCCTTGTTGGCCATGCTTCAAGGTTTACTCAGGGGTTATAGGGTAGGGAGCATGCAACTGGTCTGTTTCTGGACACAATTCAAAGTGCTCATTATAACCTATAAAGCCCTGCATGACTGAGGTCCAAGCTATCTGAAAGACCATATTCTGTCCTACAATCTGCCCAGGTTCTGAGGGAGGAGACTCTTTGCTCAGTCCTGCCACCCTCATAGCTATGCTTGGTAGAGATGCAGGAGAGGGCCTTCTCAGTGGCTGCTCCCAGACTTTGGATCTCCTTCCCTAGAGAAGTTAGACAGGCTCCCTCCTTGTTATCCTTTCTTATACCAACAGACTTTTGGGAACGGACTGCTTTTAAGGGAAGGGCTGGCGCCATGCTGGTTTTAGTGTAGTTATCTGTATGTTTTTAATAGTTCTTTTAAATTTGTATATAGTTTTAATTCTATTAATGTTTAATCATTTGTAATTATTTTATTTTCTCTGTTTTTAGCTGTTCGTATTTTATCTGTAAGCTGCCTTGAGTCCCTGAAAAGGAAAAAGGTGGGTTATTAATTACTATTAATATTAATATTGTTAATTTCCCCCTGATTGGATTGTGTCCTTGAAAATGCTTCTTGCTTTAGAAAGAACCTCTTCACACAGCATATAGTTAACTTATGGAACTTGCTCCCACTTAGAGGCAGCAACGTACATGGCTTTAAAAGAGGATTAGACAAATTCATAGAGGAGAGAACCATCAAAGACTACTAGCCAAGATGGCTGTAATATGCCTGTACATTTGGAGGCAGCAATGCTGCTGAATACCAGTTGCTGGAGACCACAGGAAAGGAGAGGGCTCTTGTGCCTGAATCCTTCTTGTGGGTTTTCTCCAGGCATGTGGTTGGCCACTGTGAGAACAGGATGCTGGAGTAGATGTGTTTGTGGCCTGATCCATCAGGCTCTTCTTGCAGTGTGGTGTAGTGGTTAAGAGCGGTAGTCTCGTAATCTGGGGAACCGGGTTCGATTCCCCGCTCCTCCACATGCAGCTGCTGGGTGACCTTGGGCCAGTCACACTTCTCTGAAGTCTCTCAGCCCCACTCACCTCACAGAGTGTTTGTTGTGGGGGAGGAAGGGAAAGGAGAATGTTAGCTGCTTTGAGACTCCTTAGGGTAGTGATAAAGCAAGATATCAAATCCAAACTCTTCTTCTTATGCTTGCCTGGATGGAGCATTTTTGAAACTGATTCTCTTCAGCAGGGGTGAAACGAGGCTTTATTTCACCCAGGTCAAAGACAAAGTTTGGCACACACACCCATGTGCATTTGTGTGCACGCGCACACACAGGCTGGGAGCCTCAATGGCGCCCCTCTGGAGGCTTCACTTGGGGCAAAAAACCTGGCTCCACCCCCACCCCCATAGGTACGGCTCTGTCTTCAGCACTTTTCAAACGGATTTCCCCCCACCCCTTTTTGTCATTGTTACCTCCTTATTATTGCTACTCAGGAGGAATTTTTAAAACATTCCTGTTCATCCAGCATTTGGTAGTTGAAATAGACTGTTCCTGGAAACCTTGAAATGGTTGGTTGTGAGCAGTGCTTTTTATTTTTTAGGGGGGAAAGGCATCCGTACTCACCATGAAGTTGTTACAGTAAGTGCCACATTCTTAACATTGGGGGGGGGGGGGTTGCCGGTACTGCATACCCTTGAGGACCCCCAGATAAAAGCACTGGTTGTGAGGATCTTGGGACTGTGTTTAATTTTCTTTTTAAGAAAGTCTTAATGTTTTAATTTATATTGTTTTATGGCTTTGTTGCTTGTCAGAATAGAAATTTTATTAATAATATTAGGCATAGGAGTTGCAACAACAGTGGCTCCTTGGTGGTTGCTCCCCATTTGTGAAATGCCCTCCCTGGTGAGGTGCTTCTGTCTCCCTCATTATTGACTTTCAGCAGAAAGACATTCCTGTTTACTCAGTGATTTGATGGGTTATAGGCAAGACTGGCCATGGCAACCTTGAATTCACCAACTGTGAGGGTATGTGATTGCTTTAGATGTTTTTCAATGTTCTAAACATTTTAAATATGTTCATTTTATTTTACTTTGCCTTGTTTTAACGTTTCCACATCTGCCGCCCTGGGCTCCTTTGTTGGTGAAAGGCGGCATACAAAAGTAATAAATAAAAGCAAGTTCTGGCTCTCCTGCCTTGATCTCCTCCCCGCTGGGGTACTTGTGGGCTCTCTTACTCTACGGCGGCGCACGCCTGGGCACGATCTCTGGCAACTTCCACCCGAACGCCCAGAGATGGCAGCCTTTGCCTGGAGACAGCTGCTCTCCTGAAGCCTGGGCTCTGGCTGCCAGCAGCCTGCTCTGCTAGGGCGTCCCCACCATCACCGCTGCCTCTTGCCACGCAGGCAGGGTCCCTCTCCCGGGTTGTTTACCACAGCGAGCCGGCTGGTGCCTCAGGAGTTAAGTGGCAAAGCAGGCAGGAGCTGATTCAGGTGGGTGGCACATTGCAGTGACAAGACTCCAGCTAGAGGGAAGGAGGGAGGGAGGGAGTCTAGAGGGAGAGGAGGCGGAGGAGGAGGAGGAGGGAGGTGTACACGGTGGTGGCGGCGGCGGCGGAGAGGAAAGGAGAGAGAGATCGCAAATAAGATGTAAGAGGGGGAAAGGAAAGAGGATCTTTCTCCCCGCCGCTTCCCCAACAACTAGCTGGAAAGGAGAGAGCGAGAGCGCGCGCAGGGAACGAGGAAGGAGGGAGCCTCGGAGGCAGAGCCCTCTCCTGCCATCCTCTCCGTCCGGGTGGGGGAGTCTGGGCAAGCTCCCGAGCTTCGTCTGGGCCCCAGAACCGCACCGCCCCCCACTTGCCGCCGCCAGCCTCCTTGTGTCTGCCAACTCCAGGGATCCGTCTGAGCCAGATGTGCGTGCCTCGATGGCAGGGAGCAGCAGCTAAGAGGAGAGGAGAGATCCAAGGGTAAGTTGAGCTCCTTGTCCTTTACCCGTGGCGGGGGCATTGGAGGGGGATGGCAGGTGTGGGGGGGTGCTTCTCAGGGGCCAACGGGGAGGAAGGTTTGATTTGACGGACACCCTCTCTGGGTGGGTTTCGCCCGCGCGCGCTCTCCTGTTCCGGGAGAGGCAGAAGCGAGGAAGGGGGTTCGCGCGGGGATGAAGCCGCTGCCGTGTCGCTCTCGTGTCTCGGATGCTCTGGTTTTGGGTGCGGGAAGCGGATAAGAAAGTCAAGGCTGGAGGGAGACGGACTAGGTGGGAAAGAGGAGGGCGCTAACCGACTGCGAACTTTCGATCCGGATTTCGCGCCCAGTGGCGGCGTAGATCCGGAGTCGATCCTCTGGAATCCGAGCGGGCGTTCTGATCCAGGTGTGTCCGAGTCTCTCTTTCTCTCACACACATGCACATACACACACACTTATCCAAGGAGATGGTGAGGAGGCCAAACTCTGGTCTTGGCGAATGCTATCAGCGCAGAAACCCCTCGTCCGACTGGGGAGAGGTTGACTTGGGTGTTCAATCCGTAGTGGCTCCCATGGAGGGGGTGGTCCCCGTGTGGGGTGGTAGGAGGAGGTTGACACCGGTCGTCTACATGTAGTCACAGGATTCAGCCTCCACTCCCCTGGCGGAGAGGCTGAGGCTCGCTTGGCCCCGCGCATTTCACCCCGACGAACCTTAGGCTCTCAAGAGGTTGCCTGGGCTCTGGCCGTCTAGCCTAGCAGTCTCCACCCTGCGATGGTGCCATAAAAGAAAAGGGCTCTGATTACAAACATCATAATACCCAGGAAGAGCTGATCGAGAGAGTGAAGTGTGCGTGTATGTGTTTGTGAGAGAGAGATGGGTGGTGGTGGAACAGGAACTTGGTGCATTAGGAAGCCACATTGGCTTCTGCAGACAAGCCAAAGAATCACCTTCGCTCACCATTGCCAACAGCCCCCTAAAGCCTCCTGCAATAACCCGGCGATGGCTGTCTGTCGTCATCCCAGAGAGAGAGAGCCAGGCTAGCCTGCGAGGAAGCGAGCGAGGAAGGCGGTGGGGGTCGTCAGCTCTGCCGAAGAGTTGCTGGCGGAACAAGTGCAGGCGTTGGAGGGGGCTATGCTTGCTTCTGCTCCTTCCTTCCCTTCCTTGCGTGTGCCTGAGGAGAAATACAGCCCTGCCGAACCGTTTCCCTGTTGTAGTTATGGCATATTCTACCCACACGTGAAGAGACTCTGTTCAGCCCCCCCCCCCCCGCTCCCCTTTCCCCCTGCAATCCTGCTTCTGATCTGCAACCCATCTTGGGAAAGCAGTGTATCCCTGTGGCGAGGCAAAGGGAGTTTTTCCAACGGGAGCTTTCGTCACATGAAATAGCTCTGTAAATAATTTGTATTTCTTTCACTTCTGTGTTAGATCATGCAGTTAGTTAGATTAGATCATGGCTCTGAAGCAAACCTTCCCTAGTAATGGAGTAGAAGCTCTCTCTAAGGGGAAGGCGGGGGACATTGGAAAAGGAGGGATATTTTTTACAGTGAGCATCAGGAAGTCTGTGTGTGCATAGTTCCCCTCATAGCAATCAGATCACTTGCCCCCTTTCTTTCTTTCTTTCTTTCTTTCTTTCTTTCCAGATGCATGGACCTGTATCTTTCATTCTCTCATCCTTTGCCTAAGGCTGTGTGCACACTATACTTTTAAAGTGCATTCAGCGCACATCCCCTCAAAGACTCCTGGGCTCTGTAGTTTGTTAAGGGTTGCTGGGGATCGCAACTCTGCGAGGGGTAATTTTTTGAGGGGGAGAATGTGTTCTAAAAGTGTACGCATAGCTAACTTTCTCTACAAAATCTCAGTGTCCAAATGCGTGTGTTGCAGGGCTACCGAAGGGTCCTCCCCCTTGCCTCCAATGCAAGGCTCCTGGCACAATGATGCTCTTCTGTCGAAAGGGAGTGTGTTTCTCCTCAGCAGTAGCCGATCCTTTACAAGCTGTTGCTGAAAAAGTGAAGGAATTTGACCTGTGTTAGCTTTCCTTATTAGTACCTCTAATGTGTGTGCACGCTGTGGAGGGGGAATTGCGCACAGAAAGGACACCCAAATGACTTGCCCTTCATTTTGTATTTCCTGTGTAACACTGGCAGGTGGAACTTACATAGCTCCACTAGGGTGAGATGTATGACCACACATGTCACCTTGGGGGGGGGGGAGAAGTGCATAAAGCAGGAGCGCAAGTCAGTCACACTTCCTTTCCTTCCCCGCTTCTGTTAAATGCCCAAAGTTGCTCTTGGGTCTTGATCTGTATGGGTGCTCTTCATGCTCAGCCCTCTCCTCACTAGGCTCTCAGAGTCTCAGATGTGCTCTTGGAAGGAAACCATAATCAGATGGCTTGGGTGGCCACTGCTTATTGCCAGCCAGAGGGAGATTCAGCTCCAAAAGGTTGCCCTTCGCTCTTCTACTAGGAGGTACCTGTGGCTTGCTGTCAGAATATCTGGATATCTTGAAAAAGAAGGGTCTTGGTCCCAGGAGGTGGGCAAGTAGATATCTTAGGGACTCAAAGTAAGGCAAGTGAGGAAACGGACCTGGAGGTATGCTGAATTTTCTGTGATGATTCTATTTCCCTTATTTAAGCAACAGTCGAGCTGCTGTTTGCCCTTGAGATCAAGGGACTTCTGTGCTCCGCTGAGCATCCGGCAAGAAGGCAGGCACGTAGAAGCGCTTTGCTAAGTAAGCAGGGCTAATGCTGCAGTTTGTCCTTCCTTCATCAAGTGGAACAAATTCCATTCTAATTCCATTCCTCCCTGTAGGAGGAAACTCCAGAGTGACTTCCCTCCCTGAATATGAATACTGGGAACCCAGTGCAGAGGACACACCTAGCTGTGGCCTCAGGAGTTTCCACTGGCAAAATGGCCCAGTGATTGTAAAACAGCCTTTCCCCATAGAGCTCCTGCCAGGAGTTCTCTCTGCACATCTCCCCTGTTTGTGGGTCAAGAGGTCTTCTCACCACCAAACGAACCTCTTGCCTCCATTCTCCAGCCTCATGATAATATACTGCAGTGTTCCTTGACCTGGTGTCGCTGTTCACCTTGGGGAAAACCACCCTCTTTTAGCTGACCTAGTTCCGCGCTACTCCATAGCCTTACATCTTAAATAGTGACACTTACACTAGTTCAGCATCAGTGTTAAAAGCAAGTGAAAAACTGTCGTTGCTTTGCATTGATACAAAATGACTCCACATGAAGTTTCTGTGCTGACAAAATTTATGGAGCAGGAGAAGCCAGGTAGCAGCAGGGCAGCTGAGTTTCTCAGATCTCTCTACCTTTATTTGTGTTGCCTACATATATTATGCATGCTACACCCGTCCAAATTCTGGTAAATGTTGGCATGCATGTGTGATTGTTAATAGAGAGAGAGAATGGGAAATGTTAAGTTTCTCCAAATTTTGGCAATAACATATATGCTAGATTTAAAGCAACCTGGGAAGAAAATTGAAAGATTTCATTACATTTTGGTAGTGCAACGTTCCAAGAGAATATTAGAGACAACATGAACCACTGTTGTTGCCATTGTGCGAGTTATTGAGTTTCACTGTATTTAGCTTCAAGCAAAAACAAAACTGAATTGTTGTGTTGTTGGGCCCAAGGACCCAAGGAAGCAATGAAGCTGTCATGACATCTTCTGTTGGACCAGTTTTGAAATTCTGAAAGACTGACTAGCTCTGGGCAATGTAATTTACTAAAGCTGTTCCACCAGCTTCTAATATCTAGTATTAGTATAACACACCTCTGAGTGTCCAAGCACCTCACATACATTTCCTCCAGCAATTTTTGCAACAACCCTAAGTGGCAGATCAGAATTGTTACCATGAGTTCAATGAAACATGAGAATGGCATCTATGTGTGTACATTTTGGCAGCGAATGTGGCACCGACTTACCAGAACCTAGATGCTGGGGGATATCCTAGTGGGTTCTAGAACTTTCTTCTATGCCTGCACATACTCAAAGGCCTCGCTGCAATGTACACATCACAATGTCATTATCACATGGCCTTTATTACATGCTAGGGGGATTAGTGAATGAGGCCACTGCAGCCTGGGTTATGAATCTGCATATATTCTTTGAAATCAGTGCAGTCCAACCTAGCAGGTTTTGCACATATGATAGAAAGGCTGTGAGGCTGTTCTAGAATTCAAGAAATTTTGGAATCCAGCCTGGAAGTTTGTTGCAAAACGGATTTTAAAATCTGCCTCCTCCAAAACCAAGTACCAAGTATACTATTCATCTCCACGTGCTAGTCTACAGACCTCCAAATACCCAGAGCAAAGGTTCATTCTTAGCTTCATGAATTTCTTCACATATGTTTTAGGTTACTTGGTTGGATTTGTTGTTTGTTTGTTTTGGTGTTACCATGTTGGATTTTGTGAATGAGAAAGGTGATGGATTTTATTGGTTGGAGTTTTTTTTAGTGGGAGCAGTCATAGAGTACAAGCTTAAGGCTAATGCCTAAGTATTCACTCCTGTCCAAAGTAGAGTTATATGCTGCTTGAAAGATTCTCTTCAGCTGAGGCTGGCTCAGTAAAAGGTGACACCTTTCCGTCCTACATAATCTTACATAGAGCTTCCGCCTGAGCCTGGTGAAAAGGTTTTCCGCTGAATTCATTCATGTGATAAAAGGCTTTTTTGAAGAAGAAAAAAAGAAAAAGAAAAGAAATAAATATCTTCTCTCTTTGTTCTTCTTATCTCATCCTATAGCAGCACAGTTATATTACAGAAACAAGAGGAGTGCTGAGTCCATTCAGGGATGTGAGCTGTGATACATCATAATGTCTTATGAACTGGAGTAACTCAGATCCTGATGTGAGAAAAGGGGATTGTTGATGCAAGTATTATTCACGTCTGTAGCTGCATTTGCATAAGAGCTGCACACATTTAGATGTGATTAATGCATTGCAGAAGGTTGGAGTAGATTTAACTTTGGGGTCCTTTCCAACTCTACAGTTCTGTGATTCTATGACATATTATAACTGTGTATACTGATAGTGTATACCTGCTCAGCCCACTGGCCTAGCCCCCAATATGTTTCACCATAACCATCAAGAGACATAATGTTCATACACAAAAAGTGGAGTCCCCTACCTCACATACAGAATTTATGCGAACAAAGTTTGTTACACACACACAAGCTATGCTGAATGTGCAAGGTCCCCCATTCTTCTTCCTGTATGCTCAGTGTACATAATTGTAATGTGTGCACAGGACTTTTAGTCAGGGCTGGCCCTACCATTAGTCAGAGTGGCATGATGACTTCAGGTGGCAGATGCTGAGGGATAGGAAATGGGAGCAAGGTATTGGTGGACAAGACAGTTTATGCCAAATGGCATTTCCTGACCTTCTAAGCTGCCCTGTTGCCCTCATGAACATTGGAGGAGTTTGTCCTGTTGCCAGTGTTGAAGGACGGTTCACCCACTAGCCCCAGCAGCTTTTGCACATGGTGCCATTTTGTCTCTTGCCTTGGGTAGCAAAATGTCTTGGGTGGCCCAGTTTTGGCTTTAGTGTGATTTATGTTATGTAATGAAATCTTTGTTTCTCTTAATCAAAACAAGACCATAGATGGTGATAAGGGTAACAGGTATCTAACCCCTGCCTTTTACAGCTATGCCTATGATATCAGAAAATATGCCAATTAGTTTCCTTAGGATCACCTTAACTAAACTGTTTCTTCCTGGGAAGTGTCTTCTCAAAATATTTTTTCCCATAAGTGTTTTTCCTTCTGCTATGGTCTGTTCTCAGATGTATCAATACAACAAGGTCTGTCTTATGTTCTACTCTTATTTCTGTTCTCACATCAAAGGCTTCCTGGGATAAACTGTTCCTTCCTGCTCTTTGATGTGTTTATTTCCAAAGACTGTTTCATGCAGAGCAACTGGTTGTGTTATGACATTTATTTTTATACACATCTGCATGTCTGTGCCAACCACCTTGAATGGTTAGACAAGATTCTTCATAAAAGATAGATCTGAAGACACCAGAGAGGCATCTTCAGCGAGTTTGGTATTAAATGAATGAAGAGCTATATGGAGTTTTCAATTATTGCTTCCAGATTGATTGTCATTCTGTTAACATTATAATGCCAGACTACAATTTATTACAACCGGACTTTGCTTTCCAGTGGCTCAAATATCTTCTCTGCTAGAAAATTATTCTCAAAGTATTGTACCTATGCAAGCACATGTCCTATTACAACAGCTTATGGCACACGTTAGGTCACAGCCACACTTTAACAGTCATGGAGATTCCCAAGGACTGTTGTTTGTTAGGGCTGCTGGGAATTGTAGCTCTGTGAGGTCAACATTTTTCACAAACTCCAGCTCCCAGGATTCTTTGGGGAAAGTTATTCTCCTGTACTGGTGTGATCCTATAAGAAATTACTCACTCTTGGTTCCTCTTCAACCCATTTTGGCATAAGCAATTGAAACAAGGGGTAGAGTCTCTCAGAAACAAGGGGTAGAGTCTCTCAGAAGCAGAGCCAAGAGGGTTTGGCCAGCCATGAATTAGTATCCAGTAACTCAAGCTCAGAACTCTCCTATTTATTAACCACCCTTGGTTGATTTTTCAAGCTTTCAATAATCTGAGGCCATGAATAAATAACCTGTTGCAGGGTAGCCACAAGTTTTTCAAAATGTGTTTTCTGTGCTGTTAGTAAATCTAGAAATCACTAACCTCCTTCTTAATCCAGATTGCCATTCAGGTCGATGAAAGTAAAAAGTGAACTAATTGCTACACAAAGACTCCAGATCTATGATAGTGTCTCATCAAGTCAAAAGCTTCAAATGTGGTTTGGAAAGTCAGCTGCAACCTGAACTTTTTTCATATGCCATGGGATCATATTATCCATCACACACAACCAGAGATACATGTCAGTTCAAGGTGACAAAATAAATGTAGTTGACTGATGAGGCAGACATGGTCCAATAATAGATGGAGAAATAATCTGGGAGTCATAGAATCATAGAATCATAGAGTTGGAAGAGACCACAAGGGCCATCGAGTCCAACCCCCTGCCAAGCAAGAAACACCATCAGAGCACTCCTGACATATGGTTGTCAAGCCTCTGCTTAAAGACCTCCAAAGAAGGAGACTCCACCACACTCCTTGGCAGCAAATTTCACTGTCGAACAGCTCTTACTGTCAGGAAGTTCTTCCTAATGTTTAGGTGGAATCTTCTTTCTTGTAGTTTGGATCCATTGCTCCATGTCCACTTCTCTGGGGCAGCAGAAAACAACCTTTCTCCCTCCTCTATGTGACATCCTTTTATATATTTGAACATGGCTATCATATCACCCCTTAACCGCCTCTTCTCCAGGCTAAACATGCCCAGCTCCCTTAGCCGTTCCTCATAAGGCATCGTTTCCAGGCCTTTGACCATTTTGGTTGCCCTCCTCTGGACACGTTCCAGTTTGTCAGTGTCCTTCTTGAACTGTGGTGCCCAGAACTGGACACAGTACTCCAGGTGAGGTCTGACCAGAGCAGAATACAGTGGCACTATTACTTCCCTTGATCTAGATGCTATACTCCTATTGATGCGGCCCAGAATTGCATTGGCTTTTTTAGCTGCCGCGTCACACTGTTAGCTCATGTCAAGTTTGTGGTCAACCAAGACTCCTAGATCCTTTTCACATGTACTGCTCTCAAGCCAGGTGTCACCCATCTTGTATTTGTGCCTCTCATTTTTTTTGCCCAAGTGCAATACTTTACATTTCTGCCTGTTAAAATTCATCTTGTTTGTTTTGGCCCAGTTCTCTAATCTGTCAAGGTCGTTTTGAAGTGTGATCTTGTCCTCTGGGGTGTTAGCCACCCCTCCCAGTTTGGTGTCATCTGCAAATTTGATCAGGATGCCCTTGAGTCCATCATCCAAGTCATTGATAAAGATGTTGAATAAGACCGGGCCCAAGACAGAACCCTGTGGCACCCCACTAGTCACTCTTCTCCAAGATGAAGAGGAACCATTGTCCTCTGAAGGCTCATCCAGACTTCTGCTTGTCCTGCTTCCTTCTCCCAGGGAAACCAATCTTTACCACTGAATCAGGGCAAACATCAATTGGGTTTGATGTTTAAAGAGCAGGTTTTCCCACGGAAAATGGTGGGGAAAATAGACAAGTGCTTGGACCTGTGTTTTCTGGGCATGGCAGGGGTGAAACTAGGCTTTATTTCACCTGGGTCAAAGACCCAGTTTGGCACACCTCCCATGCACATTTGCACGTGGGCACGCACGGGGGGGAGGGAGAGGTTGGGAGCCTCAATAGCACCCCTCTGGAGGCTTCACCCAGGGCAAAAAAACAAAACCCCTGGCTAAACAACACCACCCCCGCCCCTAGTAGCTATGGCTCTGGGCACGGGACAAGCAGAATTGTGAAAGAGCCCTAAATTGCAAAGTACCTCCAACTTCGGCAGCAGCAGAATCTTGCTGTGATATCCTGTGATATCCAGAGGCTTCTTCTGTTCTCGTGAGATAAAAGGTCTGCTGCAGGTCCGGCACCTGAATTATCTGCATAGGAAGTAGAAGAGGAATTATGAGAACAAGGGGATATGGCTGGGAGTCATGAAATGAGCATAGGAAAGGGGATAAAGTTCAGTAACTATTCTGGAAGAGCAGCTTGACAGTCAGATCTGTTAGCCCTCCTTCTGCTTCCTGCATTTAAAACTAGGTTGGACACAACTGATTCTTAGCTGGAGGGTGTAGACCTCAGCCAGGATAACTTGGTTGCTTGCTGAAACATTGAATTTAGAGGAATCGCCATCAAATTACACTATGCAGTCCTGTCCAAACTTGGGATTTTGTCTAAGGCATTTTACAGGGCAGTCCTAGATTGATGTGTATAGGATTTCACCATCATTTTTTTTATAAAGTGTGGTGTTTTCTGTTTCTCTTTTTAAAAAAAACCCAGTATTTTTATTTTTGAGAACATAATTTGGATGCTTCATACAATATGATGTTGGAGAATTTCAGTTCTAAAAACATTGTGGTAGTGATTGTAGAGAAAACCTGAAAGTATTCTGGAGGAATGAATATGGGAGTTCCAACCCTGCCCCCTCCAATCAAATGTGACTTTCTGATAGAATTTTTTCCTGTAGGAATTACTGATCACCTGTAGCTGTCACCAGGAATGGCAGTGATTTTATGAGGTAATCCTAGAATCTTCAAAACTAATGAGAAACTTGGCACAATCTGGAGAATTAGAATGTTTTGCACATTTATTTATCTTAATGGGTTTGGGCCCAGTCTCGTACGTTGTAAAATGCCACCATTTGTAACTAATTGTCACCAGACATATTTGATTTGGTTGTATGATTGATTCTACCAGTGGTAATGCTACTATAGAAAGATACAGAAGTTATAACACTTCATTATACAATCATTACTGATTCTATATATTATTCAGTTTTCCAGGCAATAAGAGTTGTTCTGCAACCAGCCTCATAGAAGCAGAAGGTATTTCATAACTAAAAACTTGCTATCATTTGTGGAGCTCTGGGAACAGTTGGCATAGCAGGTAGCAACTGATGCTATTTTGTCTGCGCAGATACAATGATTTTTGTAATCACATATAAGTTGTTGGAACAAACATCCAGCCACATTAACAGGCATCCATTTTTTATGTCTCTCATTGAATTGTTAACTTGGGAAATAATATTGCAAGAGAAATTGTGAAGGCCAACAATTTGAGGTCAAAAAGAGCTGGAAGGGTGGAAAAGTTCCTGAACAACATGGCTACTGGCCAAGAATTTAACTGGATTTTACTTTACACAAGAGGCATACCTGTCTACTGGAAGTTTGAAATGACTGAGAGATGATGGATTGCTCCATAATTTCCTTGGGGCACAAAGCTGGCAAAAGTCAGTTACTGCTTTGGTAAACACTTAGATTGTTTGAGCAGATATCCTCCTATCTGAAAGGATGTTATCCTACATCTCCACCTTTCTGCTTCTTGGTCTGTCTAGCTAGTGATGCTATACTTTTCTAGTCTTACCACTGAAAGCTAATCAAGGGTCGACAATATGCCTATCAGGAAGAAATTTTAAACAACACAAAATTTGCCCCAATATCCAGTTGTTTGTGGTAAAGGTAGCTCTCTTCTATTAACAGCAAATTGAAAAAAATCTACAGTCTCTTAAATGCTATGACTGTGTTGTGAAAAATCTGGAAATTGCAGAAAGAATTAAATTGAGAAACATCTTTAAGAGATTGGCAACTAACACTTATGTATTTTTCACTCTATAAGACGCACTTTTTCCCTTCTAAAAAGTAAGGAGAAATTGTGTGTGCGTCTTATGGAGCGAATGCAGGCTGCGCAGCTAAGCCCAAAGCCAGAACAGGGAGACGGAGCGCTGCACAGCGCTCCGTCTCAAAGTTCTAGCTTGGGGATGGCTGCGCAAAGCCTCTGCAGGGCAGTGGGCTGAAGGCACCCTGCTGCCCTGCAGAGGCTTCAAAGGCTGTCCCTGAAGCCAGAAAAGCAAGAGGCTATCCCAGACGCCAGATCCCTCTTGCTGTTCTGGCTTCTGGGGTTCAGAATTTTTTTCTTCTTATTTCCTCCCCCCCAAACTAGGTGTATCCTATAGAGCGAAAAATACGTTATTTTGGATAAAAAGGTTGTTATTTGTCCATAGCTAAAATTCTGACAATCAGTTCCTTTGTATAGTTTTCTTTATTGCAAAATATGATTAGCATTTCTGTATTTTTTATATATATTTTTAATACACACAGTCTTGTGCCAAGTCTGTGATGTTTTAAAGTACCCTGAATTAGTCCCTTCACATCAGAAGCAAGCCTCTAGTCTTCATTATCAAAGACTATAGACTAGGGATGGACAAATCTGCCAATTTCTCAATTTTTTTAACTTCAGTTCTTCACATTGCCATGTAATTTTTGTGGAATTCCCACAAAAATAAGGCCCTCATGAAAATTCATTAGCATTTTAGTGTGAATTTCTTGTAAAATATACAAATTTGGCATTATTTCACATTATTTCAATACACATTATTTCAAAGTATATTTCCCTAATATAGTGTATTTTGTATGTCATGTGTATGAGTTTTAGGCACATTTTCTCTAGTATATGTGTTTTTTGTACACATCACTTGGCCAGAGAACTGCTTTGCAACATTTGAAGGAGTGCAGATTTCAAAGGATGATTATATTTCAGTCTGCATATTGTTTCAGAAAGTGTGCATTAGTAAATTCATCTTTAATTACAATTAGTAAATTCATCTTTAATTTCTTCCCTAATCCCATCATACATCCTGGACTGGCTTTCGAGCTATATGAATGGATACTTAAAAACAACTGATACTTCTGTGATGCTCAGGAAATCCTGTCGTTCAATTGCACTTTACTGTGTGTCTGTATACCAGATCCTCAGCTGGTGTATATCCGTTTGTCTCCAGCCAATCTTCTTGGTATTGCTGGTTTAGATCACATGAGGTTTTGGCCTATAGATACCTGGGGCCTTCCTACTGGGGCTTACTAATTAATTCCCTACATGTAGGCGCTTGCTGCAGCCAATTGCTTTTGCAATCTAGTCCTTGCGCCTGGGAGCACAATGGAGATCTGTGTCTCGCTTGGACTCTCTTTGCAATGAGGTGTGAGCCACTGGCGTGCTGATTGATGATATCTTCTTCTGACTCTTTCTATGAGCAAGATGTGCCAGCCACTTTCTCTTATTCTGTTGTGTGGCCTCCTGCAAATGAAATTATTGTTTCCTGGGAAATATATTCCCTTTCTCTTTTTTTCTGGAAATTACCAGTCCCCCACCACCTGAAAAGAAAAACACCCAAAAGATTTCTTCTTCTATCAGAACACCAAGTTTTTGCATCAAAAACCTGGAGACAAAAACAAAATTGCACCATGCTTTTTGAAATCAAGGCTGGTGCTACAATTTAAGGAAGTGACTCAAACCACCCAGCCCTACTCCTGTGTAAACCTCATTTTGTCGTACAGGAGCAGTATCTGGTGAGATGGGGTGTGCTATCTTTCTGGGTGATATTCTTTTAAATGAGTTATGTTGCAGCTCTGGGATAGCTCAGTCAGTAGAGCATGAGACTCTTAATCTCAGGGTCCTGGGTTTGAGCCTCACCTTGGGCAAAAAAATCCTGTATTGCAGGTTGTTGGACTAGATGACCTGAATGGCACCTCCCAATTATGATTCTATGATCTATGAACTATTAGGGAGACAAATGTCTGTTTATTTCCTTAGGCACTGGAGTTCACTGAGTCATGAATCATTAAGAACACAAAAGAGGCCTGCTAGATCAGATAAAAAATCTGATCCAGTCCAATATCTTATTCTCACAATGGCTAACCAGAAGCCTATTGAAAGCCCACAAGCAGGGTATGAGTACAACAGCATTCTCCCCACTTGTGATACCCAGCAACTGGTATGTACATGAATCATCTCATTACATTTATTCCTTACCTTTCTTCCATCACAGAACTCAGGGCAGTATACATGGTATCCCTACATGGTCTTCCATGCAAGCAATGGCCAGACTCAGACCTCATAAATTTCAGGGAGGTGGCTGCGCCATGTATCTTCAATCTACTATCTGGAAAGGAGTGTGTGCTCCAGCAGTTGTTCTATGCATCCTTCTCTGTCTCTCTTCCCTGTTGTAGGTAAAAATGGGATCAGGCTATCTATAGCAGACCAGAAGACAAGAGCAGATAAACTAATCATTGGGGCCAAGAGGCAAGTGACATGGTCCTTACATAATACAGTATCTCACTGCCCCAAAATTACTATGGTCTGAAAAAGAGACATTAGGTGACACCGGTGTTCCCCAGGACCCAGTACAGCAACTGGTGGACAGAATCATAGGCAGTATCTGCTGTTGGGGAGGGAAAGGAGTTGTCTGGCAATGGGATGCTTTGGTGTGTTATAGAGTCCTTCCACTCTGAACTAAGGTCATTTTGCCCTAGCAGATTGCTTCATCAATATTTTAATATAAGATTTGTATGCTTCCTTTCTGCCAAAAGGCATTTAAGGAGGCTCAACAAAACACCAAATTTCCTATGAATGGATCAGCCATACCATTTAGTCAAAGCAGTTTGGACCTGAAGTGGGGATGGACAAACCAGCCTCTTTCCATTCCATGTCAGGTTCACAGGCACTCAGTCTTAGGTCAGTTCCTGCTGGTTTTGCATATTTTTAAAAGAAAAATGTATGGCAGTTATCATTTAAACTGTTTGCTTTTTGAACACATGGTAGATATGCTTTGTAGGTATTCTTTCCCCCAAATATGCATTTTGATATGCTTTCCAATGTATTTCCCTCTAAAATACACATTTCTCCCATAAAATACACATTACTGTATCCATATTTTTTTTAACCAAAGCTGCATTTAGAGGAGTGCATAATCTAGTTAATAGCTGTGTTCCAATCCACACATAAGTCTGGGACCAATAAATTAGTTCAGTTCACTTCAAAATGTGGACCAAATGAATTTCTCCTCCATTCCAGCAAATGGCTAGCTTGAAGTCAATTGTTGTGCACACAGCTCCTATAATGCAATCCAACCCTACCCTGCTGTTCAGGTAGCAGTCAGTCACACAGCAACATTTAACCTATGTCATTTAATTCCCTGTTATTTTTATATTTACATGACTTGAAAGCCTTATCAGCGTAACTCAATCACTGCTTGAAAGAGCAACCATACATTCTACAAGAAACTCTGCTGTGACCTTCAATAGTTGCACCAGTCCTGCTGGCGACATCCCCACCTCACTTGCCCACCTCCCCTTTCCTGTGCTGAAGGCCAATTGGAACTTAGCTTGTGCCTCCCAAGCCTCTTGTATTTCCTCCCCATAAGCCATGGGAAATGAGAAGTAGGTGAAGGAGAGCTGTTTAAGAGCCTGAAGCAGTTCCAGAGCATCAATCAGTTTATAGGCAGTGAAATATACGTGCAGGTCTGGAGGTTGTTGATGGGGTAGAGTATTTTGCGATAAATATATTTATTGCAGGTTGTGTAAAAGGCTGTTCCAATGAGTGGTTTTTAGTAAGGCAATAAATGGTCAAGAAAATTGCTCCGGTTGCATCTCAGCACATCTCAGGCACTGAAGCTAAATGGGGGTCTGTTCAAGCCCCTTTGCTTTGTCAGAGGGGAAAGGCAGTGGGCGAGAGGGAGCAAAGTCCTGTGACTTCTGTTCATGCAAGGTGGAACACTTGCTATTTGGGGGGAGTAGAGTGGCAGAATCCTTTGGCTTGAGATACGCTGCTTGTGCATATATGATGAGATTGCTCCTTCCGTTAAGAAGCAGGATTGCACTGAACGGGTCATGATAGCTGGGAGAGGCAGAAGGAAACTGCTCAAGGTCATGCACAAAATACAATGAGCAAGTCTCACACTGGGTGACCCAGGCAGAAGGGAGGATCTGCAAAGGAACAGAAGGAGCATGTTGTGTGCAGGAAGTGGATTAGGGGGAGGGTTTCGACCATGAATGCCAAGAAGACAAGCTTGTCCATGGACACCTCAACTACATTTGCACATGCACTTATGGCATGTTCTAGTCACAGAAGTTGACCTTTCTGAATAAGGCGGGGAAGTAACATGTTGGTAGGTGTTGCATTTCTGGTGAGATGCGCTGCTGATGCTGAAGTGGTTCAGAATAAAAAATGGTGATGATGAAAAGGGCTATTTCCCCATGTCCTGGTTGCAGGCTTCTTGTAGGCATCTGATTGGCTGCAGTTGGAAGCAGGATGCTTGGTTAGATGGGCCTGTGGTTTGATCCAGCAGGGCTCTTCATACATTCTTATAAGAGCACAGAACAGAGCTGTACAGATCCTTCCTTCTGACAAAAGCTAGAATAACTTTTTTTTGTTGTTCCTTCCATTTCATTCCATTTGGTTGTACAGTCTTGATTCACATGCAACCATTTATATGCAAAGCTGGAGATATTGCTTCAATGTAATAAAATGTTTTCCGGCACATATATGCCATCTTGAGTGAAGAATATACATCTCCATTTTGCCATGCATATACATGCTCAGAAGCTGCAGCCGGTCTTAGCTTATGGCTGAATGAGCGGAAATTCATTACGGTTAAATATTTTTTAAAGAGATCTTCTAAATAGCAAAATGAATACAATTTGGCTCTGGAGTTCTGTTTTGAGTTTTATGCTCGTAAAACCTCTCATTTAGTTTTAGTAGAAGGAATCTGTGAATTTAAAGAAATGCTCTTTCCCCGAAAGATTTTAAAATTTACTATCATGCCTATCCAGAGGGCAATCCTCGCTCACTACTGGACCATCTTTCCTATCAACGATGCGCTGACTTCTAGACAGGGATAATGGTACCAGAAGCATGAGAGACCCCATATAATTTACTTGTAATGAATTATTCAGGAGTTCTACTTGGTATTAATGCCAGCTTTCCCCTCTAGCACCTTCTGAGTCTAAAATGCTTGGAATATCAACTGACCCCATAGAGACTCTAGTGATTCCTATTAGAATTAATAACCTTTTTCTGCTCCATTATAAAGTCATATTTAGTAGAGAATATCACTGGGTATAATTTCCCCCTCCAAGATTACACTTTATCAAGGACGCCTAGTTATATCAGGCTGGCTTTGTTCTTCCCCTTTCATTTTCATCAAATCTGAGTTGAATCAGTCCTAAAAGTTCAAAGACAAGACAAGAAATTGTTCTATTCTCCAGAGGATCGCCTGTGCTTCTGTGAAATTCAGTGGTACTTACTTGATTTTAATACTCTTAATTGCTGATAAATTATTTTTAAAGCCAGAGAACTATTCCTGATTCACCATCTAATATCCCCAGGTCTTCCATTGTTTTGCTCTGAAAACCAGGAAACAGTCATATATTTTTGAAAAGCCTAGATTTTCATCTTTTATTCCACATCCCTTTGTGCTGACCAACATACAGGAGAATATTAAGATGGAAATACATTCCCAGGTGGTGGTTCATTGTGCCCATTTGTTCCTACTACTTATGAATAAGTAAAATTGAATGCAAAATGCAGCTTTGTAACTAAAAATAGATGTGTTTAAAATTATTTACTAAACCTAAATACACATTGACCAACCACCGCCAACTGCTTCATGAAGTAGGATCTAATTAAATCACTTCAAAGAGATAGGATCCTTCACATCTAAGAGAAGATGGCATTGACTCTTTATGTTAAGTCTATATTATCCAATTGTCTATTTTCATCTGTAATACTTACGGAGAAAGATAAATGAAAGCTCAGCATAAAAAAAGGAAGGAGCTTTTTTCAAACTTCAACTGACCATTTCCCCCTGATGTGTCAACCAGGGTAAGTTGGAAAATCATGTCCTGTAACTACTTGGCTTTTTTAACCACGATCTCCCTGGGCAGAAGCTTCTGTAACTGTTGTGGAGAGAGAGTGGAGAAAGGGTTAGTAGCAGGAGTGAAGGCACCTGGGACAGATGCTCTACTGTGCCACTACTGACTTAGCAAATTAGAGCATAAAAGGCAATTGCTCTCATAAATGTTCCAGTATTCTTGAGAATTCTAGGGAGACTATCCAGATTTGTAGGCTGGAGAATTACTTTATTAGCAAACATCCCATTTTGAATATTGAACTAATGGAAATCAAATTATTAAATTAACAAATATTGAATGACCAATTCTGAGAAGCTCTGAAGGTACATTTTAAAACTGGGCATGAATCTACTGTGGAAAAAGTATAATGTTCAAATGCTCTTTTTTACTCTCCTTTTCTGCTTCAGAAGGTAAATCTGAAGACTTTCTGTCCATGACCTCTTCTCAAAAAGTTTCAGTAGCAAGGAGGCATGTGTTCTGTGTGTGTTAGTAGGGGATGCCTGCTGAGAATTCACATAAAATGTGGGGGTTGACATAATAATGACTGCAATAGTATAACTGTGTGTACTGTGACCATTGTCGTTTTCTAACCCCAACAGCTGCAATCCAAAACACATTTATTAATTACATTTGGAAATTCCATTAAAATTATTGGGGACATAAAAGGTAAAGGTAAAGTGACCCCTGACCATTAGGTCCAATCGTGACCAACTCTGGGGTTGTGGCGCTCATCCCGCTTTATTGGCTGAGGGAGCCAGCGTACAGCGGCCAGCATGACTAAGCCGCTTCTGGCGAATCAGAGCAGTGCACGGAAACGCCGTTTACCTTCCCGCTGGAGCAGTATCTATTTATCTACTTGCATTTTGATGTGCTTTCGAACTGCTAGGTTGGCAGGAGCTGGGACAGAGCAATGGGAGCTCACCCCGTCGCGGGGATTCGACAAAGCAAATACATCTCAAAGTTGCTGCAAACACTGTATTCCTAATGAACATTTGCTTGCCTAGCAGCCTTGCTTAAGCAAACCTTTGTGTTAAATCAGGGCTGGCCAAGTTGCTTCATTACATGAGGCAAAGGGCAAGATGGCGCTCCCAATTTCACATACAGAAGCTGAAGAGACCAGCAGCCAAATCTAAGTTCAGCACTGGCAAGAGGACAGCGCCCTTCACTGCACCTGATGCCAGCAGGCTAGATATGGGAAGGCAGGGCAGATTGCAAGGCACACACAACCCATTCCTCCAAGACCTTACAACTGCTCCCTGTCCTCCACCATCTACCACCTGAAGCAGCCAGCTCACTCTGCCTAATGCTGGGGCTGGCCCAGTGCTACTTTTATGCACGGTCACCTAAATTCATCTTCATGCACACAGCAATAATGAACATCTGCCATCTCCCCAGTCTGGTGGCAGATTGCCACTAAGAGAAAAATGGCTAGGGAGAAGTGATTTGGCAAGGTAGCAATGTGAGTAGGAGAAGGGTTCGGCTCCCCCATCATTTGCCCATGCTTTGACCTAAATATCCTCCTACCATAAGAACATAAAAGGACCTGCTGGATCAGACCAATGGCCCATCTAGTCCAGCATCCTGTTTTCACAGTGGCCATTCAGATGCCTATGAGAAGCCTGCAAGCTAGCAACAGCATTCCACCCACGTGTGATTCTCAGAAACTGCTATTCAGAGGTATAATGCCTTTTGGCAGTGCAGGCAAAATCCTCATCCTTAATAGCAGAAGTGGGAAACCTTTTTTTTTTTCCCCCAGTCAGAGGGCCACATTCCCTCTATGTTCCTTTCAATGTTGGGTGGGGGCCAGGGACAAAAAGTGTGTGGAGCTATGATGTCAGCCTAACTGTTGTTCAATTGGTTGCATTCAAGCCATGCAACCGCCAGAAGTTTCTGTACACACACATGCACACACACCTCCATCTAGATGAGCAAGAGGCATCATTGCAGTTCAATGACACATTCTAGCCAGGTGCAAGGACTTGAGGAGGGCGAGGGGCAGGGCAACATGGGAGCTTAGCCTGGGAAAGTCCTGAAGGCCAGAGAGAGAAGTCTGAGAGCCCCACCCTTCATTTTATTAAGATTCTTACACACGGATCCAAGGAGACATTTGTGAACATTATAATGTCTGCAGCAGCAAGCCAGGCAGTGAAGCTGACATTTAGCTAGCTTTCTTGGTAGAGAAATAGCTGCTGTGTCCCTGGCCCCTTCCAAGGAATTGCAAGCCAGTTCCTGAGTCAGCTCCTCAGCGATGCTGCCAGTTTTAATGGACTCTCCCTCTGACACCATCCTAAGCCTGAGCTGCTCCCAATGCCTGTTGTTGCAAACTGTGTCTAGATTACCCGAGAGTATCATATTCCAGAGCTGAGATCTTCTGCTGCACCTTCTTTTTCATTAAGCTCCTATTTAAATGAGACAAAATGGATTTCTGTGATACTATCTAGGCATCTTTTTGGCATTTCATTTTTTTCGTTGCCTCCTGGTTTATTTGTAGCGAGTGCACACACACACACACATCCTCCACAGATAAATCCCCCATCACCAGCTTGATTGCATTTGTCCTTTTCTGTTTGGCAAGTGCTGAATTTCCTCCTGTGCCATTTCCCCTTTTAAATGGAAGTTAAATTAACAGGACCTGTTTATGTTTAAAGGCGATAACTTATCATACCCCAAGTCTCCCTCTTTCTCCCTCTCTGATTATGCACCGGCACCAGCAAAACACTACCTCTGCCATGTGAAAAATGGTGCCCATTACTTTGCTGCTGATACAAAGCAGCAGGAGGGCTGAGGATTGTGCTTCCAGGGAGGTCTATGGAAATCAATTATGCTTAAAAAAGAAGAAGTTGAAAATGGAGCAGTAGATTTGGAAAGCAACTGAAAGAGGAACGAATGGCACTGAATAATGATAATAGATTCCCCCCCCCCCCCAATTTCTGGTAAAAGCTTCTCTCTTCCCTCACCTCCTAGTACTTCAGTATCTTGTTGCATGCTGCTCCTAGTGTGGCATAATTTTACCACCGGTCCCAACCACAAATTGAAATACATTTGCAATGGGGAAGGGCCATGGCTCAGTCACAGAGCACCTGCTTTGCATGCAGGACGTCCCAAGTTCAATCCCTGGCACCTCTGGGTTGGCCCTGGCAAGAACCTTGTCTGAAATTCTGGGGAGCTGTTGCCAGTCAGCACAGACAATACTGAGCTAGATGGGCCAATGGTCCAGTATAAGGCAGTTTCCTGTGTTCCTCTTTGCAGGTGAGTCCTGGGCTCTCAAACTGTAGGATGGATCCCCTAGAAGGGCATGAGATGCTTACAAGTGAGAGGGTGTGATTCTGGGAGTCAGTGGCAGCTATTGGGACAGTTGTACATGGTGATTCCTCCCTCTTGGAAGCTTGCTCTCTCTTCCTTACTTAAAGTTGAGCTTGGCAGAGCAGAACCTCTGTATACAGCAGATATGGAGGGAGAAGCTCAGTCCCTATGCTTCCGGCAGGGCTGGCCCTACTATTAGGCAGATTAATGCAGCTGCCGCAGGTGGCAATTTATTGCAGGGGAGGCTCCACTTATGGGCAGATTGAGACATAACCCTGCCAAGATTCTGAACCCCCCAAAACTTCCCAAGCCATGGTCTAGTCCAGGGGTCAGCAATTTTTTTCAGCAGGGCGCCAGTCCACTGTCTCTCAGACCTTGTGGAGGGCCGGACTATATTTTGAAAAAAATAATGAACAAATTCCTATGCCCCACAAATAACCCAGAAATGCATTTTAAATAAAAGGATACATTCTACTCATGTAAAAACACGCTGATTCCCAGGCCATCCGTGGGCTGGATTTAGAAGACGATTGGGCCGGATCCAGCCCCCAAGCCTTAGTTTGCCTACCCATGGTCTAGTCTTTGCCTAACACCCACAATGATATCAGTGCATTTCCAGTGACTGAGAGGCTTCTGTCCATCTGCTTAGCCAGTCATAAAAATCACTAGCAGTGGATTCCTACTCTGTCTCCAAAGAGAGGAAACAGTTAAACAAAAACCCCAAGCATAGAATGATTGAGGAGGCGGGGTGTGTGTGTGAGAGAGATTTCTGTCTTGTTCTCCCTGCTTTTCTGGCTCTTAGAAGCAATGTTCAGGCAGGAGGGGTCTTGTTTGATCTCCACTGGAACGGAGTTCCATAAAATTGGGCCAACCATACTGAATGCATGGCTCCTGGTGGATACAAGCTGTGCATCTGAACCACGAAGAACCACTAACAGTGACTTTCTAAAAGACCCCAGTAATTGGGCAGGAATATAAGAGATCAAGAGATCATTCTGGTGATTTCACCAATGGTCTCTGTGACTAGAGACAGGGCCTTCTATGAGGCAGCACCCAAATTATGGAACATGAAGCCTGGCTCCTCTTACAGGTAATGTGAAACACTTTGTTTATTCTGCTAGAGTTCTGTTTTGCTGGGCAGATAGCTGTCTTTATCAGGAGGTTAGGGTTTGATCTGTCATACCACTTTCATTGCAATGTATTTTATCTGATATAGAAAAAATATATATTATTTTAATTTTCTATGTTGTAAGCTGCCCTGAGTAATGCATCAGCATTAGAAAAACGGGATCAGCAACAGCTGCAAATGAATGAATGGATTTAGAACAGAGTCTTGGGCTCAAAAAGTTCGAGTAACAACAAAGCCCCAATTATTTCAGTGAAAACTCACTTTCCAATAAATATCCTTAGTACTCTAGTAATTTTACCTCCACAAGCACCGCACAATCAGACTATATATCTTGTAAGGGAGAAAGTTATCAAAAGATAAGCTCTACATCCCTATAATAAAACTTTGTTGGTAGGTCCTTTTAATAAAAGGATTTTCAGGTCATTGTTTAGACTGGCTTACAAATTGAGGGAGTTAAAGATTAAGAAAGTTAGGCTATTTCTAATGTGTTTTTGCCTTGTTGGCCCTCAGGCTTAGATAGCAATCACATTTTGAAGTGTTTCTCCACGAGAATCAGGGCGAGAATCTTACTTATATAAACGATATATGTCAAAGCTGAAACTCTCTCAAGTTGATTATGAGCCTCATGACTTGAGGCTTTAAGAAACGACAACTGGCAGCAGAACTGAATTGTGAGTGAATGATATCAACAGTTTAGCAAGGTGGTAATGATGCAAGAATAGCATCAGGAGTAGCTCGAGAATACTAGCTAGGGGAGGAGGTACATGCAACTCAGTGGAGTTACTGCAGATCTACACCAGCATTGTTGGGAATCAGAGTCAGTGACAGTTTCGTCTCCATGTGCATACCCCGGTGCAATTTTATTTCATACAATATCCATCATGCATGCTACATCCCAAAGAGCCCTTCAACACCATTGACAATCTCTCCCCCCCCCTTTTTTGAGAGAGAGGGAATTCAAGAGACAAACCATGAAGACAATTATTACTGCAGCAATCAATGCCATAGTCAGGACAGAGAATGCATTTAGTTTCTCGTTAAGATCTCCAGAAGTACTTCAAATTTTGTGCCATGGGTATAAGTACTATCAACTGGAGTGTGTAGCATTTACTTCATGATCATAGTTTCAATGCAGGAAAGTGCCTTCAGTTCACTTAAAGGTAAAGGTAAAGGGACCCCTGACTGTTACATCCAGTCGTGGCTGACTCTGGGGTTGCGGTGCTCATCTCGCTTTATTGGCCGAGGGAGCCGGCATACAGCTTCTGGGTCATGTGGCCAGCATGACTAAGCTGCTTCTGGCGAGCCAGAGCAACACACGTAAACGCTGTTTACCTTCCCGCCAGAGTGGTACCTATTTATCTACTTGCACTTTGTGCTTTTGAACTGCTAGGTTGGCAGGAGCAGGGACAGAACAACGGGAGCTCATCCTGTTGCGGGGATTTGAACTGCTGACTTTCCGATCAGCAAGCCCAAGAGGCTCAGTAGTTTAGACCACAGCGCCACCCGCATCAGTTCACTTAGGGGGTCCCAAACAGAACAGTTTGGAAATGTCAGAACTGCTGAACCAACACTTCTGATACCCTCCAAATCATTTGGAAATGGTGCTAATGACTGGTTACTAGTCAACATGGACCAGCTGTATGGGCATGGAAAGTATAGACTAATAGTGGTAGCACTAAATCTCTGTGCTAATGAATGCCTCTTTGAAGTGTTTTCTGTTTAGTTTCTTCTTTGGCATTACAGATGCTGAAGAAGTTGTCTTCCAGAATTAACACTCACAATATGCTATCCAATGTACAGCTTCTGTCACGAACCACTATAATTATGTTGTTGTTGTTGTTGTTGTTGACGTTGACACTGGGCAATCAAAGTGACAGGCTTGTGTAGGATAGAGTTGTGCCATAGTTTGGACATACAAGGGAAACCGTATAAAAATATTCTGTATTGTTTTTGTTTGACCTGGTATATCTTGCTTCATCGGCAGTATATTTTTCTCAATATATAAACCTGTGGTTTTATACCACTGACATTTGGTCTCCATCGGGAGAATATAGAACAATAGACGGTTGTGATGTGTATGTGCAAATGTTATTTTAAACAGTTAAGCAAACATCAACAACCTGAAATGTGGGGTCTCAGGTGTCACAGATTTGGGGTTTGGATGATTGGAAGGCTTAACCCCTGAGGGGGTCTCACATAACAGTTTTGTGGTAGGATGAGAGACAGCATGATATAGCATGATATCCTTTTCCATCACAGTCAAATTATATAATAGTCAATATTCAGAATTTTCCATTTCCATGAGACCAGCAATTTAGTGGTGATAATGACAATGACAAAATGTGGGCAGAGGGAGACCCACAACAAGATACACTGCTATAGATCACTGGATTAAAAGCTAAAGGTACCCCTGCCCGTACAGGCCAGTATTGACAGACTCTAGAGTTGTGCGCTCATCTCACTCTACAGGCTGGGAGCCAGCGCTGTCCGCAGACACATCCGGGTCACGTGGCCAGCATGACAAGCTGCATCTGGCGAGCCAGCGCAGCACACGGAAACGCCGTTTACCTTCCCGCTAGTAAGCGGTCACTATTTATCTACTTGCACCCGGGGGTGCTTTCGAACTGCTAGGTTGGCAGGCGCTGGGACTGAGCAACGGGAGCGCACCCCGCCGCGGGGATTCGAACCACCGACCTGACGATCGGCAAGTCCTAGGCGCTGAGGTTTTACCCACAGCGCCACCCGCGTCCCTCGATCACTGGATTACTGGATTACTGAAACACATAACTGTCAACCGATAAATGCAAATATGAACTCTCTGTGGTCACAACATGGAAGCAGAACTTTGAACTTGAGGAAGAATTACTTTGGGCACATCTGCATGTTAATTTAAAATCTGCTTGGAGTCCCAAATAGGAAAGATGCTCAGTGTTTCTAGGAAATGCTTAAAAGAGAACTAATTACATATTTAAAAATCTAAGCTCAAATGGGTTTCTAGGAAAAATGATGCTCCATAGGAATTAATGAGAGGCTGGGGTTAATATATTTGAATGCCATGTGCAAAATCAGAGAAGCCAGCTGCAGAGTGCCTCCTACCCATTGGTGGGAGGAGGTGGAAATTGATGTGCACAGCTACAGACAGCACACATGGAGCGTAATGCCTGTAATTTCTCACAGGAGATGGATGAAAGGGCAATGTCACCTCCTGTTAAGTAAGAAAGGAGGAGGGGAGAAAGACGATCCACTCAGCAGCACAGTGAACTAGATCGTCATCGGGTGTAAATTTGTAGGAGACTCCAATAATTTCAGTGGTGATTGAAACCAGTGTTTCTCTTCTCCTGCAGAAGATGTAGGGGCCGTGGGGGAGATAACTGCAGACAGACTTGCCAATATAGAGAGAAGGGTACAAGCAGTGACCACCAACTATTTAAAAAATCTAAGCAGTCTTATATATCCTATAACAGCAAACATCACAATATTATGAATGCATCATATAATTCCATCATGATCAAGGTGATTGGGTGACTCCCCTACAAAGAAAGGTTCAGCTGGTAAAACATGAGACTCTTAACCTCAGGGTCATGGGTTTGAGCCTCACATTGGGCGAAAGATTCCTGCATTGCAGGGGGTTGGGCTAGATCAGGCATAGGCGAACTTGGCCCTTTGGATGTTTTGGGACTACAACTCCCATCATCCCTGACCA